CTGTTTTCTTGGTGAATCAGAGGCCAAGCAGCAGGAGAGATGCACAGCTTACTACTTGTGCTTTCTCCCTCCCAGAAGTGACCACAGGACACCAAGCTGCCGAGCAAGCAGTGGCAGATGGTTCCAGCTCAAAAAAATTAGGAGCCTGGTACAGGCTGCACCACCCAGTGACCAATACTGTAGGGAGATGTAGCCCATCAAGCCCAGCTGAGGCCCCTTGGCTAAAAGCAGGACAGGTATAACCATTATACACCCTCAGTTTTTTAAATGTCTTCCCTTTTCACCCCTTTTTGCCCCACTCCTACCTCCATGCAGGCATTCACCCGGAGCATTGGCTGCGACAAGCACCTGGCGGTGGCTTATTTCCAGCGGGGGACCGTGTTTTACCAGAGGCAGAAGTGAGTGGAGGGCTTTAACATTTCAGTTTTGCCGCTTGCAGAGATGCCAGCCTTCGGCTGAGGACAGCCCCAGGCAGGTTGGTACCCCAGGGGCCAAACTGCAACCCCTCGAGGTAAAACAGACTCCTGTTCATCAACAGTGCAGTCTTGGGATTAACACCAGCCTTGGAGCATCTCTCCTCCCTGGGGTGTCCAAAAACACTATGAGGAGATAGAAGAGACCCAACTAAACTCAAACAAGTTTAAGTAAAGACTTAGAGGCACCTGCAAGGGGTACCAGGCAGCCAGAGTGCCACCATGAGGTGGTGACACCCTTGTCCTCTGCTCCACAGCCATGAAAAGGCCATCAAGGATTTCAAAGAGGCACTGGCCCAGCTGCGAGGCAACCAGCTCATCGACTACAAGATCCTGGGGCTGCGGTACAGGCTTTTTGCTTGTGAGGTGAGAAAGACTTGACCAGCAGTTTTGATTGCAAAGCGTTGTTCACCGTCTCAAGAAATCTAAGGAGAAGACAGCCAACCTCTCTTTGTCCCTTGCTAAAAGCAAGCAAGCTGGTGCACAGTGCTCTGTGTGGTGCCACCACCCTGTTGTCCTCTCCTTCACTGTGCTCCTGGCAAGGGTCTGGCTGCTCTAAGAGCTCATTTCTTCACTCCCATCCCTCTGGCAGATACTCTATAACATCGCGCTGGTGTACGCCACGATGGAGGACTGGAGGAAAGCTGAGGAGCACCTGACGCTGGCCATGAGCATGAAGAGCGAGCCCCAGCACAACAAGATCGACAGGGCAATGGAAGCCATACTGGTAAGGAGGAGCAGGTCTTACAGCCACCGTGTTTGCTCACAGCAGCCCCACAGGGAGGAGAGAGAAAAATCCCAGTGACAGAGAAACCACCTTTTAGCTACACCTTTAGCAGAGCAGGAGAAAAATGCAGCAGGCTGAGCAAAATGTGGGTGTCGTTCTGAGACATGAGTTGGTGGGAAGAGCTTTGCGTCACTGGGGAGGCAGGGACAGGAAGACCATGTCAGGGCTGGGGTTGGGCTGCTGAACAGGGTGGTGTTTTGACTTTATGGAGTGAGACCTTAACCCCAGAGGTAGAAGGAAGGGGACATTAAGCAGTCCCTGCTCTCACCTCTGAAGAGTGCTATGACTACTCTGTGCTACAGAAGCAGAAGGTCTGTGAGCTGGTGACCATTCCTGTGGGGAAGCTGTTTAGACCAAATGAAAAGCAAGTGGCTCAGCTGGAGAAGAAGGACTACCTGGGAAAGGCTACGGTAAGAAAGGTCTTATTTATTCAGGCCAAGCCTGTGGGCTGAGGAGATGTGCTGACCACCCTCCCACCACCTGTCTGAGCAGCCGTCTGATGGCTGGTGGATAGCCAGAGATATGGAGCCAGTTTGAGCCTCAGGGGTCTCCCCAGGTGTGGAGGGAGGGATGGCACGTAGCTGTCTCATGGGGAGCAGGGAGTCTGCAGGAATAGACGAGCTAAAAGTACGTTTCTGCAGAGCGTGGTCTATTTTCAGTTTCTCTCCTTAGCAAGACAAGAGGGGCAGTCAGTCAGCAATGAGCTGGAAAGGTCCCACTGGAGCTTCAACGTGAGCCAAGATTTTGTTCAGGGAGGGAAAAATTTTTTTAAAAAAAAAGAAGCTATTTAAAATCTGACACCCACAAATGACTTCCAATTCTCTCCCTCCTCCATTTGAAAGGGGCTTTTCAGCGCAAATAAGTGAGCAAGCTTTTCTCCCATGAGTTTGCAATTTCAAGCACTGGGATATCACCCCTGGGCTCAGATCTTGGGAGGCAGCGCTCCACTGGAAAGCAGCCTGTTGGCTGTGCAGACACTGGGGAATCAGATGAGCAAGAGCCAAGCAGATCCTCAGGTGTCAGAGGATCCGCAGAAACATGCACACAAACATTTATGAACTTTCTAAATGATGTTTAAATTTGCCTATAGGAGGTAAGGGCTTGAGTTGGACTCTTTGACTCCCTTCAACATTTGCAACTAAAATATTAAATATTTTTCATATTACGAGATAATTTTCATAATACGAGAAAATATCCTGAGGAACTTGGCTTGGCCAACAGCAAAGGAGGAGGGTGGACATCAGAGGTCTAAGAGAGGTATACGAGCACCAAGTCACTACCTGTCTGTCTTTGGCTCTAGGTGGTGGCATCCGTGGTCGACAAGGACGATTTTTCAGGATTTGCTCCACTCCAACCACAGGTAAGGCACCACCAATGAACAACATCCTTGGCAAAAGTTTAGGAGGACGTGGGGATGGGTGTCATCCCACAGCGTGCCAGGAGCAAACAGCAGCATCACCACCATGAACTTTCTGCTACTGCCATGGGGAGGAGGCGGACACTGCCCCCACGTATCAGCTGCTGATCATGGGAGACTGCAGCCCAAACCCACCTACGTTTGTGGTTGAGGTTAACCCGGTTCCCAGAACGGGGAAGTAGCAGCCTGGTGGCACATCCTCTGCCCCCGCCATTGCTGCAGGGCAACAGCTTTCAGCAGGGAGCAGTCTCAGGCCCTCGCCGTAAGATTCATTGGGTTCAGCTGACTCAGCTCGAGCCATCAGAGAAGCAGGAGCAGTTTTTCTTTGATTCTCCATCCTCCTCCCAGTAACTGAAGCTCTTCACATTTTCATCGCCATTTTCCTGATGATGTAGCAGCATCTTTCCATCTCTAAAAGTGCCCAAGAGTTTTTACAGGAGCTTTTTGAGAAGATACAGGGAAGAGCAGCTGCTGCAGCCTACAGCACCTTTACACAAGATAAAATATGCTCTTCTCAGTGCAGCCAAGTGTTGACACCTTGCTGCAGGAGTCAGGACTATTTCAAGTAGCTTCTTCAGAGGGTTGATAAATCCACCAGAGGCTTAAATTACTTAGGCAGGAGAGACCATAAAGCATGATGACAGTAGCTGGGGATTTTACAAGCACAACAATGGGAAGATATGGGAAAACACAACTTACTGCTTAAACCAGCTGATCTCAAATCTGTGATCTCAGCCCTCTGTGAGCTGAAACCAAAGTCACAAATGAAAACAGGATTGTGCCTCTGAAAACCAGCTGCAGGTGGATTTGGAAACTGCTCATTTGAAGGAGCAAAGCTAGTGATATTCCTCATGGCACAAAAGGCAATTGCTTTATGCATCAGGGTGGCAGAGCACTGAAAACCTACTGCAGCTGGCTGCAAAGCAGCAAGAGACTCCCTTTAGGTTCAAATCATCTGACCTGACAGCAGCACGGGGAGAAAGGAACCGTGTAGGGGTGATGGCAGGTGTGGTAGAAGGCTGCAAGACATTTCTCCAAAGCAACTGAAATCCTCCAGGTTACTGATAATTTTCTTTTTGTCTTCTTGTTGGCAGGCCTCTGGTCCTCCACCAAGGCCCAAGACCCCAGAAATCCTCAGGTAAGTTGGATGAAAGATGGACAATGCTGCTAACCCGTGCAGCCAGGTCCAACCCCATGCTGCAACATCACAGCTGTATGTCCAGCCAGCACCTAAAACTACAGGGAGGGCAGGGAAGGGATCGTAGAAACAAGGAGACAGAGGTCTGGGTCCCCCCTACAAAGTAAAACAACGATGTTGCCCACCTTCCTGACCTGGCTGCTGCTCTCGCATCCAGGGCCCTTGAAGGGCAGCCGCATCGTGTCCTGTACGAGTTCATCCCCGAGACTGCTGAGGAGCTGCAGGTCCTGCCAGGAAACATTGTCTTTGTCCTGAAGAAAGAGAAAGACAACTGGGCTACAGTGATGTTCAATGGAAAGGTACCAGGGGCATGCTTGGCAGGAGGGTGCGGACAATGGGGTGGACAGTGTGAGGTCCTGCAGAGGACTTGGAGAGCAAAGCCTTGCATTCAGCAACTGTGTTTCTGACTTAAGTCCCTTATGTCCACCCTGGCTTAGGCCGTAGGGTTCAGTCAAACCCACCCAACCTACAGCAACTAACCTTCAAGCCTCAAGGACTCTCCTGGATTCAGGGCAGGGCAAGGACAAGCACAGCTGCATCCTCCAGCAGTGGGTTGCTTCCTTGCCAAAGAATCCCCACTTGTCTCTCCTTCCTCCACAGAAAGGCATTGTCCCCTGCAACTTCCTTGAGCCGGTGGAGCTCCAGAACAAGCTGCACATCCAGGTGAGGAGGCTCAGGAGGAGATGGTGTCCTGGGGAGGGCCGATGTCCACATGTTTACCCACCACCTATTTTGGACCTTCCAGCAGGACCCATACCTGCAACTCCCTCCCCCTCATAATGCTACGGTTGGTTCTTCTGGATCATGGCCACCTTAACATGAGCTCAGAGACCTGCAAAATCTGGGCAGATGCGTGTTGATGGCCCCCCAGGTAGTGGTTGGCAATGCGAGGGAGATGAAGGGGTAGCAGTCACCCTTCCCCAGTTCAAGACCCCAAAAAGACCTTGGGAAAATAGTGGGTTGGAGGGGGGGCTCCACGAGGCAGCAGCGCCCCAGCTTCCTTAGGAAGGATGGGATTGACAGCACTACCTTCTTCCCATCTGGCACAGGAAGAAATCCCTCTTGAAGCTGAGATCCCAGAGCTATCCAGCTCCATCACCCCAGAGAAGCCACGGCGGCCAGCACCAGGTCAGTGAGGGGAGCTGAAGGGATGGAGGTGCTTTAGGGGCAAAACACCAGCAGCAGGTTTGAGATGGTCTCCTCGGTGCCGCGTCCTCATTCGTTGAGACTAGGCCTGGGGTTCATCTCCATCTCATTCCCAGGTCCATTTGCAGTCAAGGATGGAGAGGCATTAAAGCAGCAGGCAGAGACGGCAACTGCAGTGCTGAGGATGGAGTAAAACAGAGTACGTGGGTCCCCGAGGAAAGCAAGTCCCTCTGTGCTCTTAATTAGCATAGCAACTAATGGGAAAAAGGGCCTGGGGATAGGAATGGGGCAAGTGACCTAGCTTGTCCAAATCTTGGAGCAGAAGGTTCCTTAAAGGCTTGTCCTTAGAGCAGGGCACCTGCGGTGATTTTAGTGCTGCTGTGAGCTGGGCTAGGTTTGAAGGAGCTGCAGTTGCCCTGGGAAGGGGATTCCTGGCCGATGCTACCCAGTGTTCCAGGCCTGGGGCAGGGATGGCAGCACCAGGGCTACCGCACTGTCCCAGCACCATTGGTTCAGGATGCTGGCAAGTTGCTGCCGCATGCAGTCATGCTGCTGCAGGAGCGCTCAGGTGCACGGTCCAAAATTGTGGTTTAAAGCTGGGGAGTGCATTGGTTTCAGCTTGCTGAAACCAAGAGCTGGGAGGAAGCATTGCGAGTTGCCCTCTCTAGAAAACATCATGTGGTGCTTGGAGGTAGGAGCCTGCGGCTGAGCTGCGAACTCCACACCGCTGCAGGAAAAACCCATTTGGGGTAGAAAATATCACCATGCAGAGACCATACCACACGGGTGTTAACCTGCTGCAGTTTATTTTGGCTATCGATGGCCAACCTGCCAAACAAAATAGGAATATGTGGACAAGCAATTGCCAAGCCCCCTGCTCTGAGGTGGGCTTGAGCCAGTTGATGGTGGGGAAAGGTGGACCAAAAGATTACTAATGACAGGACAGGGCTTGCGTCCTAAGCAGAGCAGCCTCATAGGCAGTCTAGTGGTAAAGTTGATAGAGAAGATGGCTGCGGCTCATGGGAGTTAAGGACAAACAGCTCAGGGACCCAACATCAGAGAGCATCTTTATGGCACCAAAAGCCATCGCAGATCTAGGAGTGGGACCACAATTCATGAGCATAGCTCTGTCTCTTCCCATAACAAGCACAGTGATATCAAAGCACTGACAAAACATAGAGCAGATCCTTGTGAATGGACTTCAACAAACCTGCATTGAATCACCCTACCTGGAGGTCTGAATTTAGCTTTACAACCCCAGTGAAGGACAAGGATTACCTCCGGTTTTCAATGTGGACCTGGGGAGCTCAGAAGAGCAAAGACACTAAAACCAGCAGCTCATGGGTTTTTTGAGGTTTGGTGGTGGGGGGGGTTGTGTGGGTTATTTTCTTTTTTTTTAAATCCACCCAGGAAAGACACCCCACCCCTAAAGCTCCTGTCCCTGTAAGAGGGAAGGCACAGAACCCAAACCTCTGCTTGGTGGCTATATCTAAATCTTAAGGATGAACCCCATCACAGCTGATGCTGCATCCACTCAAGGGACCACCACTGGCTCCAGGGTTGGTTGCTGCAGATAATGATGGGTGTCAAGGAGAAGGGCTGCAGGAGATCTGAATGTATATTTAGGCACAGAGCAGCAATGCATACCCTGTCCCATTTGCTGAGCCATCTCCTTATTCCTCCACAGATCATGCTCCTGTTACTGAGACGCAGCCGAGAGAAGCAGCCAAGGTAACACCTCGTGAACGCAGATCCTGAGGTCCATGTTACAAATCCATACTTATTGCAAATCGAAAGGCGCTGGCATGCCTGGCAAGCACCATAGCCCTGGAATTGTTTCAGGTTTTCATCATTCAGGAGTTTCTCCAAACATGAAAACCAGCCCAGGGGCCAGCAGGTCTTCAGGACCCAACTGGGTGACTAGGACTGCTTTTTGAGAGGTCTCCTGCAGGTCCGCTCCTCACTGGACCCGTGGCTGTCGGCAGAGCCCTTGTACAAGTCCTGTGGCACTTGAGAAGGCAGAAATAGGAGAGAGCTTGGCTGTAATGCACATGCTCCTGGGCAGGGTCAGAGCATCAGAAGGTGACACTGGGGAGAGACACAGAAAAACATGACAATCCCAACTCAAGAAAAGATTGAGGGGATTGGGGAGTGGACACACCTTGAATTTGGTGACCTAAAAGCCACAATTTGGTTGCTAAGTTCCTAATCTATTACTGTGCTCTCTCCTGGGACAAGCCCAGGGCTGCCAACCAGCCACACGTCCAACCATAGCCTGGGTGGCATGACCACTGACCAGCCCTGAGAGAAGTGCCAAAGGTTGCGCATGCTAGCAGAGATGTCTCCCTGACCAGCAGCCAGCTGATGCCCCCGCAGCTCAGATTTGACTCAGGCGACCGCAGTTTCCATGCCCCGGTCCCTCTCCCTGCTCTCACCAAGTTATGCAAGCTCTCACATCCAGCTTACTGCCCGCAGGAGGCCAAAGCAGCCCTCTCCAGCCCCCACATCCTCAAGGTGCATTACAAATACACGGTCGCCCTGCAAGTCAAGCCAGGCCTCTCCTACACTGAGCTCCTGGACCTGGTTTGCAAGAAACTGGAGCTCCAGCCTACACACACACAGCTGAGGTGAGGTGCTGCCCACTGCAGGCAGCAGGAGCTGTGTTTTCAGGACTCCCACCCTTACCCCGTGTCCTCCGTGTGCCCAGGTACAAGCCTGTGGAGAGTGAAGCACTGGTGACTCTGCGCACGGAGAACCTGGAGGCAGCTTGGAGCCAGAGCAAGGACAACTGTCTGACAGTCTGGTGCGACATCACGGAGGTCAGTGCCAGCTAGCAGTGGCGGACACTTCTTCTGCCCACGCCCCAGCAAGTAACCTAAGCAGACATTGCCTTTGCTTTCCTTGCCATGAGCGCAGGCTTGTGCTTTCAAAGCAAGCCAGCGACCTCTTGAAAGGCAGAGGAGCAGAGTGGGCGAAGAGGAGAAGCAGAACTTGTCTCTCTCACCCTGGTACAAAGAAAAAGGAGATGCTGAAAGGCATCCTTACCAGCTTATTTCCTGCCCTAGGGAGAAGGGTTTTTACCGGACAGCAAACCAGAGGAGATGCCGCAGGAGGCAATGCTGGAGGAGCCAGGACCAACCCAAGTTGTAGCACAGTACAATTATGAAGCCACTGAGCCTGAAGACCTGGAGTTTCAGGCAGGAGATGTGATCCTTGTTTTGTCCAAAGGTAATTGTGCTCCTTCTGCGACAGGGGAGGCGAGGGACCTCCCAGCTCTGGTGAGAACATGGGCCTGACCTTGAGAAGCCGAGCACCTGCAGCAGCTGCTGCTCAGTTCAGTGGATGTTGTGGGTTCCCAACATCTGCCACTCAGGCCAAAAACTCTTAGGTATTTGGTCAGACACTGGAGGCATGTTCTTCAGTGGAGCCTACAAGCTTCACTAAGGACTTTGATCTCTTTCCCCAAATACTCCTGTCCTCCAAAGCAAACTGCTTCATGCTGGGGACATGCAGAGCAACAGCCTGGCTCAGGCAGCCTTCACTGACAGCAAGCTTCTCCTGCAAGTTGCAGTTTACCACCTTTAGATTGAAAATAGGCTACTCGGAGTGCCCTGTGGCAGAAATCTGAGAAAGCTTGCATTGGATCCAAACACTTTACAAGACAGGTTAGAAAAGAAGCTTGCAGAGATTGCTTGAGCATGAGGTGGAAGCCAGGGAGAGGGACAACCTAAGGACACATATGAGAGTGTTGCTTTCCTTCACATTGCTATGAGCTGTGTCACTGAGCTTCCAGTTTCCAGATTCACAGGGCAAGTTTGCTCCATCCCCATGAAGGGCCAAAAAAAAAAACCACAAAAAAAAAAAAACACATTTCCAACCTACCAAGGTATTTCCAGCCTCTGTTTTGCAGGCTCCTGACTAACCACAGGGTTTTCAGCTTACCAGCCAATTCTCTGGAGCCACGAGACAGGCAGGACCCAGCACCCGCAAGCCTGCTTTCCACAAGTGCCTTCTTTCGCCGCCACTGCCCTGTGTGCACAGGCAGACCTCCTCCAGCTCTACCATGAGCTTCCCACCCAAGTCTCAGTGTTACACACACTTCTTCCAACATATTTTCATCACACCCCTGTTTCTGCCACCCCCTTCCCAAACAGTTTCAAGATGGGACAGCTTCACTTGAGCTGTGTTTAACCTTACTGATCAGTTTATTTTTTAAAGGAGATCCCTTGTTATGATGCTGCCCCTGCAATGGGAGAACACTCTTACTCCCCCTCACCTGGCACTTTTTTCTGGCTGCTTTTCTTTTTAAGGGTACAATCTTCCATGAGCCTCAATCCTCTTTAATATTAGTTTTTAATGCTTTTATGAGAATTGAGGCTTAAATACAGACTAAATCTCAGCAAGATCTAGTACATGTTTTTGAGTTGGATCCTTTCAAGTCTGTGTAGAACACATAGGAGGGAGGACAAGTTACAATAGTTTGCTTTACGTAGCTCTTATCACTAATTTGTGCTGGCTGGCAGGCTTCAGCAATGGTACACAAGTGATCATAGTCCCCCCTCCATTGCTGTACAGGTGAGTTTTTGCACCATACAACACTGATGACTCCCCCCACCCCAATATCCTACTGCCCCCTTCACTGCTGAGCTAAATATTTCCCATTAAAAAGTTGGTTCTCACCTCATTTGGTTCCCCACAGCTAGAGCTTTCAGAGCTCCTAAGCTTTACTCAACGCAGGGTAGCAGAGGCTTCTGGGTTTTGTTTTGGGGTTTTTTTTTCATATGAACATGGAACAGCAGGTGAAAATACACTTTACTTGGCATCTGGAAGAGGACAGCCCATCTCAGATAATTTCCTTGCTCTCCACACTCGTTTGTTTCCATTGTCTTCTATTCAAGGCAGTTTCTAAGCCACTTGGTCTACTGATCTACTTCTCCCACCTTCATTTGGCAGTGCATTCTCTCTTACCTTACAACTTTGCTCTCTACCTCATTCCTCCTCACCCCCTTTCCTCCACATTCCTCTCTCCACCAGACTTTAGCACAGCTAAAAGATTTATCAGCAGAAAATGTTAAAATGGTGATCTCGGGCCTGTCCATAGCACATGGGAGGTTATTATGCTCCTGTATATCCCTAGGGTGACAAAAATTGTGTCGATTTTATCTTCCAGTGAACGAAGACTGGTTAGAAGGCCAGTGCCATGGGAAGATAGGCATCTTCCCATCTGCTTTCGTTCAAAAGTCTAACACTAAAGACCCAGAGATGTGATTTCAGAAGAGCTTGAAGTCGTGCATAGGGAAGAAATTAAGAATTCAACTGTTGCAGTTAAGAAGTTTCCGTATTAATCACTGCATCTGAAAATGAACTTTAAATATTATTGCTACTTGTATTAAAAGCTTTATTTTTTACTCTACCTTTTGCATTGTTCTCTAAAACAGGTACAAATTAAAAAGTTGCTAATTGTCTTCCTGCTAGGAATACATTCAGTCCTAAAAACTGTGCTTACCAAGAGACTTGCTCTGCCCCACCTGCCCTATCCTTAACAAAGCTTTCATACAGACATGCCAGCACCTGGGAAAACCCATGAGAGGGTGGTGCTACTTGCATTTACAGCCCTGCCAACACATCCAGAAGAGGAACTGGCATTCAGGAAGCTATGGACCAGGAAAGGCTGAAGCATTTACTTCCTTCAAACAATACTGTCAACCCCAAGAGCTTAAACAAGAGATACCATGCAGCCTCACCCTGCTCCCATTGACAATTCACTTCAAAACCAGTGACTTTAAACCCCACCCCCAATAAAGTATACACCTTTTTTTCACCTTTGGGAGACATATCTCAAAGCTTTTTCTCAGCAGTCAGAAGAGACAGTAACTTGGAAAGACACTGCCTGGAGTCTCAGCTGGCCATACAGCAGCAAAGTTTTCCCCATTATAAAAGCCTACACAACTTCGATGCCCTCTTCCCTATCCAAGAAGAATGCCCCATCTGCCCTTGGTGCTACTTTCGCAGTATTTCACCTTTCCTGGCGCTGACAGCTGGTCCTTCTGGCATTTCAAAATTATCTACCCTGCCCTGTCTTCAAGACATGCAAGCTGTAGATAACAGCCAGCCAGCGACAGCACTGTGAGCGCTTTGCTTTGAAGGTGCTAAGGGCAGCTGTTTCCCCACTTCGGGTCCTATCATGCAAGTTCTGGACAGCCCCACTGTCCCAATAACCTAAATATCATATTTATTCTTTTAAAAGAACTTATTCTTAAGAACTGCCTGGATACAACGAACACCCGTCATTCCAAAACCAGAACATCTCTGTAGTTTTCTTTGACACATTTAGAAGTATGCTGTTCAAAAACTGGCTGCAAACAGCCAACTTCCTGATCTGCAGGCAGGTCAATGGCAGAGATCTGTGTCCTCCAACTGCCCGTGCTCTACCTGTTTCAGTCTGCAACTGAAGAAGAGCTTTGCAAGCTCCTCCTGTCCCAGATTTTTGGTTTGGTATGTAAAACACATTGTACACAGGCAGCACAAAACCACAATCCAATTATCTGCACTGAGCCCAAGCCAGAATCTCTGCAATTTATTTGGTTCTCTTTCAAACAGAAAAAAGAAAAAAAATCAACTTCAAACCTTCTTCTGACTTCTCCAGAAAAATAACACATTTTTAAAAGCCTGCAGCCAAGTTACACAGGAAATAAACACTACACAGACCTGGATGGAGAGAACATGGTTTAATTAAAGGCAAAGCTGATTTCAGCAGCTGCAGTTCTTGCACAGACAGACAAAAAACACAAAAAAAGCTTACGACACAAACCAGTTTCTGTTGGGGGCCCCTTCCCTTGCTCCCCCAGGCATTGGAGGGTGGGAGGGGAGTCCCAGCCAAGAGTGGGATGCATTCCCGAGGCCGGATGCTCATGCACAAGTGGAACGGTGCAGCTGGGACCCTGGCACTGCCGGGAGTGAGATGGCGAACCTGGTTAGCTCGTCTAGGGTGCAAGAGTCAGTGACGGTTCAAACACTGGAATGTCGCAGCTGCCTGGGTGCACAGCTCGATACACAAACCAGGAGGGCTGGAGGGAAGTACAGAGGGGTTTGGTTCATATTACCGCTGGGTGGGAACTTCACTTTTCGGACTTTTTAAAGGAGATACAGCTTCGAAATGCAACAAAGAACAGTGATGTTGCTAAGGTGGAGATCATGGGGGTGCTGCTCATACCCCCAGAGGGGTACTGTGTCTCCTCCATCTTCCCTTTTTGTATTCTTTGGGGCTGCCCAGACTCCAGTGTCACTTCGGCTCCTGCATGTGCTTTGCTCTGCAGCTGACTTCCAGCTCAGAGATCCTGAATCATCACACAAACCCCTACTGCTAAACACAGCAAATGGACATTGAGATTGTTTCCATAACTTCCCTGGGAAACCTAACAAAAATGCTGTCTTTCTTTAACGAAGCTTCCAGTCTTCCTTCCCCCTAATAAATAGCAAATAAAACATTTTCCTTTTCCCTTCTGCACCTTTTCATCTATGAACAGCACTATGCTTTCTTCCGTGTGTGGGTTACACACGTGTGTCCACAGGTGCCTTGAATTTCATCCTGGAACTGAAAGTTTGGGGCTGCAGCTGGGGGTGGGGGGCACGGGGGGATGGGTTTCTGCAGCGCTGATGCGTGCCTGCGGGGGTGCATACACTCCGCACTGTCCAGGCCAACTGTCGGCTTTACCCAGCCCTGCTGGACCCCTGATTATTTTCTGCGAGATGTTGCACGTTGGTAATGAAACTACTAGCGTCCAGCGAGATGGGAGGATGGAGAGAGAAAGGAAAAAAAACCAAAACAAAAACCATTGAAAGCTTTCTACCTACCTATTAAAATGAGTCAGGCTGTGAATGCACAGACTAGCCTACCCTTTGTGGGGCTAGCCACTATGCTACAGTAAAACGTACAGGAATCAAACATTAATTTAAAACCCCATAGCAGTTAACTTGCTTGTCCAGCAGAGTGCTGCAATGCCCCACATCACCAATTAGAGCTCAAACACCTACTGAGAGGAGGGCATTTCATGCTGGAGTCTCTAACCCACCCATGGGCTGGCCAAAGCCTTTGGGTGAAAGGTGAAGTGGTGTCAAGTGCCAGACTCTCCTTCATGAAACTCCTTCGCTAGCCCAGGAGATAGAGCCCCACCTCGCCACCAACCACCTCTGACCGGAGCAGCAACTGGGGCTTTCATTGCTACACACTGACTACGAAGCACGTCTGCGTACGGAAGAATTCAGTGTGATCTTACTACTGAGATAGTAATAAAGATGTTTAGGAGTAATTTCAACTACATTCTCAGTCAGCAAAGCAATCATTAATGGATTCCTATTTTATCTCCCCAAAGAGAGGAAAAGGATTGAGAAGTTCTCATTGGCTTCTCCCATCTGCCCTTCATTCTCAGCTTTTACTTCCCATGTGGCTGGGGACATGCACGATGGAGAAGGTGAGAGGCGGTGATATCGGGTTACTGAGTGAGACAAGCAGCAGTTCCTCTCTCCCTCCAGAGGGCCCAGGGATGGGAGAGTTCCTGATGTTGTTTTCTTGCACTGCAGACGTTTTGTGCACACTCAGTGGTTTGGTGGAGCACTTACGCCCTCCTGACAGCAAGGAACAGAAGAGAGGGCTGCCACCTGCACAGGACTGTGTGGGCCAGTCCTGCAAACCCAACATGCCATGGTTTATGGAGCCTTCGTTTGCAAGGGTTGCCACCTCTGTCTCAATGCGGCGGGTTCATGGTGCCTTGTCCGCGTTGCTGCTTCTGCTTCTGCTGCATTAACAGCTGCTCCAGGGCTGAAGGTCCAGGGTGCATCATGGAACTGGACCAGATGGACTAAAAACAAACAGCCAACACTAGCACCTCCTTGCATTAGACAGCCCGCCTCTTACAGGTGAGAAAGCAGAGACAGTTTTCTATATTCTCCCTCTTCTCTTTATCACTCATACCTGGTTTATCATGAAAGTTATCCAGACTTCAAAGAACACCTTCTGGAGAGAGGCTCCCTGGAAGAAGCTTAACCTCCTCCAGAATCCTCATTGCCATAAAAATTCATCTCACATTAACAATTACTAATTTTAGACTAGTCAAAGCAAATGTTATAATTTCTTCCAGTTCTGCCAGTATGGTCTTGATCTGCGAAATATTCTAGAACAGCAAGAACTGGAAAATGGTTGACGTCTTCCAGCACTGGTCACACCTCCCACACTGCCCGCCTAAGTGAATCTGCAGGGAAAACCTTTGGGTTTTGACACTGAACTCTGACCCTTGCAACAGGCTAACGCCCATCACCAGGTCTTCTGGCCCCACAGACAAACATCCATTCCTGAGCACAGTTTCAGTCAAACATACCTTCAGGCTCTCCATAAGCACAGCTGAGGAGTCCTCCATAGCAGGAGGGCCTTGGGCTGCCCAGGTGCCACTGGGAGCACTGGACTGGTGCCAGCTGCTCTCCGAAGATGACGATGTTGCTGGGAGATAGTCCAGACCAAACCCTCCCATTGCTAAAATGGGAGAAAGACAAGTTCAAAGGAACGTAGCAAAACCACTGCAAAACAAACGCCATCAGCTGGCTTCATGCAAGCCTGGAACCCAACACTTGCCTGGCTTATCTGTTTTCCAGCGGTCTGCAACTCTCCTGTCTCTGTTGTCTGGAGTCCCAATAGGTCCAAAGTTGGAGAAGGGAACAGAATTGTGGTTATGGGTTGGAGGGGAGCTTGGCAAGCTGCTGGGGTTGGAGGAGTGAGGAGACTGGCTGGCTGGTGTCGAATGATCTAGTGATTACAAGGCAAGAGGAAAAAGGTCAACAGAAATTGCAGGAGCCTCCTGATTTTGAATTTCTTAGTGCTGCTGCAAATTCTGCCATCACTCAGTTTTCTCCAACGCTGAAGGTCAGTTTTCATTCCCTCCATTACATGAACGTAATGCAAATTCCTAAGTTCTGAGTGAAAATTTTTGTGCATATACAAGAACAGAATGGCTGTGTTTAATGTATACATGTGCTTACCAGAAAAACCAAAACCCAGGAAACCTCAAGAGAACCTCAAGAGGGATGGCTAGCCAAAGTGAGTTTTGCCCATCTTTCTTGAAGAACCTTTCTCAAACTAAAAAAAAAAAAATCTGTCTCCAAGTTTGACAAACCAATAAAAAAAAAAAATGACATTAGACCTTGAGGAGTTTGCAAGTTTACAACTCAAACCCCCAAGTCTGTCAACGTTTTACACTTCTATGAGTCTTAAAGCAATT